GAGCTAAAACGTTTTTTGCTATTTTCTCCCACATAAGTTTAGCTTTAATTTAATGTAGATTACATTAACGGAGATGTAGTCTACTTTATTTTCAGCTTACAGTGGTTATAGAGATTAACGTTTGCTATAATGTGTTGTTTTTGCCTTTTTTGACGTTGTGGTTTTTTAGATATTTAATAATTTTCATCTACAGACATGTAACGTTATGTTTTTCTTTATGTTTATTAATTCTTGACTGTTTTTTAAATTTATCTATCCTTATCACATACATTAACCGCATTAGTAGTTAGCTGCTGTTTGTTACACAAAATATAGTAATAAAAACACAGTCTTACCGTTTCAAATTCAGGCAAGTCCCTGATTGTTGGAATGGCACCTTTTTCCAAACGTAGCTTCGATGCCAACTTCGCCTGATATTGCCCCAAATTTGTAAAAGATTCTTTTGTGAAATGTTTAGCGCAGACACCTAACGTTGAGCAAGTTTGGTTGTTGGAACAGCGTCATTAAAAATAAATTTCACCCACTTGTCCCTTGTAGTTTGGTCAGTTTTGGGTAAAGAAAAAACATTAGAATGTGGATTATGACAGTCAACCACAGAGCAACTCACGTGTGCACTACGTTTCTGCATCTTTCTTGTCTGAATATGATGGGGAGAGGGGCAGGGCGGGCCTCCTCTGCGGTGTCCATATATGGTATATCCGGCCCCGTCTTGACGTCAAGTCGGGGGAGAAATTGAAATCTCGTATTTGAGTGCGCGTGCACGTTGGCTAGTTTAAGAACCCTGGGGTAAACAAACGCTTCACTTTTGAATATCGGCATCCCGGCCAATGTATAATCGTTAGTCAATCATAACATACATTGATTCTCATGGAAAAGTGAAAATTGCACATTATGACTCCTTTAACGCACCAGTGGGGCTCGACAGCCTTAGTCAAACGGGTTGGCGCGTATGGTTGGGTCGCGGAGAGATTGTGATATTGTGGTTAGGTCTCAGCAGCAGGAGGGATGTAGAGGTCAGTAAGCTGGGCTGAGTTGAGTGGGGGACGGAGGGGGGTGACTCTGGGACGCCAGAGTCACTGTCGAGCCCTCTTGAGGTGTCGTGGGCTAGTCGATGAAACACTGAGGACGGAAGGTGCCCACTTGAAGACCCTAGAGATGTCCCCTACTCGGTTCAATCCAGACGGTTGTCGTGCTGGTCCTGTAGTTGCAGCCGTCGCGCGCGCTAACGCGCCAAGTACACTGCTGCCGTTAACGCCGGACAGAAGGGGAGTCACACTACCTTATGGAAAGAAGCGTAAATGGATGGAGAAGCATAGTTTACTGTAAAGCTACGTCTTAGTTTTGCTTATCTTGGCGAAAGCCGAGTACAAATCAGCATGAAGTTTTAACATCTACTCTCGTGTAATGGAAATCTTTAACAAAGTCACATCGCCACCTACTGGCCTGGCATGAATAATACAGCGGTTTTAGTCGTTTTCGCGGATCCGTGAAATCTGTCAGGTTGATAAGAATGAAGTTCAGGATCAGCCAGCATGTTGATAAGAAACATAAAGAAGAATAACTGATTTAATTAACATTAGCTTGGTTAAGGTTAAAGAGCACAAGTCATGATGGATCAAATCATTATTGTTACTGTTCCACTCCACATGTACAGCACAACGCGCAATGTCTCTAATTGGAAGGATTAAAGAGAATAAAATCTCCTAATTAAGTTTAATTAGCGGGGTCTTTTAGCAACATGGACCCCAGGAGAGGCTGTTAAAGTCATTGGACGCAGCAAGAGACTTGGACGGCATGTTTTGTTGTGAACTGCTTGGATGGTTTTATTTCTGAGAACATGAATCATGTGTGTGTGTGTGTGCGTGCGAGTGTGTGTCTGTGTGTGTTTGACTGAATTTAAAATGATTTTATGAGCACTATATTGAAGTTCCTCTTCTTTCTTCCTCTTCTCCAAATGCAATTAATTAAACTCAAATCACTTAACATTTGCATGTTAACACTTTATACCATTCACAATATAACGTCAGTAATGTCATTGTAACACTGCATACTTCTTTCAGTCTTCTTTCTTGCATTTATTATTTAAATATTGATTGTTTTTTCTCTCTAACCTTGAAAACAGTATTGGATTGTGTTGATTGTCACAACTATTATTTTGCTGCATTTCATCCATTAAATGAACATTCGGACACGCAGTTAAATCAGTTTTTCTAGATGTTGAGAGTTGCCACTGTGTCTTTTCTTTGAGATAAGAATAAGTCCAACAAATGATGGATCTGTGGATGGGTTGTAGTGAGATGAAGCCGAGATTAAACTGGACGGAGACTGTGAGAGTTACGGTCAGGCACTGCGCTGGACAGCCCCGCCGGGTCCTGAGGAGCCACTAAGGTCCACCGATTCATTTCTGCTCTCTGATGCGTAGAAATCAATTACTGCCGTTATATGATGGCAAACAGCCGAAGAAAAAAAAAAAAGCTATCTATCCATTCATCATCTCTCTATCCTCCAGCTCACCTTTCCGCCACGCTTCTCTCCGTCTGGTTCCAACAGTAATGGAGTCCATACAGATCTGTGCTGTAATGTAATGTACAGATCTTTAACAGCTTCTGTTCTTCTTATCGTGTCGTCGCCATTCTTTTTTTAGGCTTCGGTGGTTTAAGAAGAAGCCTGAGTAATAAGTGACCTGGAAAATGTGTCTTTTGCTGCACTTTTTAAAAGTGTAATGAAATGGAAATGCACCCAGTCTTTTCTAAATGCACGCGATTGATGTTATTGTGTGAATGTGAACGATTCATTTTTTTAAATGTCCATTTTCATAGTATTCAAACATGAATAGACAAAAGTACCCAGGTGACCTACGACTTCCCCTGAGATCCTGGAGTGAGCATCTGATGGACACTTTACTGTCCCATGAGGCCACGGGAGAGGATTTGTGAATGGAAGTGAAGCAACGCAACTGATGCTCAAATGCCTTACATTTTACTCTGATGTACATCACAATATGAAAGAAAAGATCTGTCACTACTTTTGTTACATTGCAGCTTGGACCTATAATAGATATCCAATAATACTTCTCTTAGGCTAGACTTTCAGGGTGAGCTGTTGTTTAAATTCTGGGTGATGAGAAGTTAAGACCGACCGACACTATTGTGAAAATGTAATATAAAAAAAAAAAAAAAAAACAGGGCGAGGATTGATTTTAATGTACCTCCTGACATCATCAGAAAAGGGACATCCTTCCAGAGGAGAAGCACATTTTCTGATTTCGATTAAAGATTATGAAAAACAAACTTTCTTTTAAATTGAACTGGTCACCACAATGTGGCTCATTTTGATTGTACAGTTTTCCGCAGGTGATGAGCGAGAGAAAGGCTTTATTCAGACAGGACTTATGTTGCATGAAGGTCAGATACATTCGTGTTTCGCAAATTTGTGATTTCAGTCTTGTCCAAAATGAGCATGTCTGTGTTTTTCTCACACACTTCTGAAAACATTACAGAGCAAATGAATCACCCACTGCTTTCCTCAACTCATCTAACCTCTGAGAAGTATGGGTGTTATTATGGTATTGTATTTTTCACATGCAACACTCTGGAAGTTGTGGAAGTTGGTGGTTCCAGTACTGCTACGCCTCAGACCACGTTAATGCTCAAAACAGCCACAATAATCGCAGTATAATACAGTCTTTCCCCTAAATTATTTTCCCTAAATAAGTCATTTTTAAATAATATAGCATTTTAATTGCCATTTTAAGTTTACTAGTTAACATTGTGTCACTCCTGCTCATGTGATATTGCTCATATATATATGTTTTTACAGTGTTTACATTTTCAAGGTGAATCAGCCTAGAAATAGCTTACTTATAATGGTCTTTGCTGGGACAAGGGAAAGTTTTTTTTAACATCAAATAAACACATGATTATATTTTCTAGTTCTACAACTACACTCCTACTCTCTCTTTCGCTCTCTCTCTCTCCCTCTACACACGAACAAAGCTTAGCACTCTATAAATATCACACAAAATGTTGTTCTACTCTGGTTCAAATTAATAATCTGAATGCTTAAATAATGATTATGTTGGTAATTACACAGTCGCACCCTAGTTCTACAACTACTCTCTACTCTCTCTCTCTCTCTCTCTCTCTCTCTCTCTCTCTCTCTCTCTCTCTCTCTCTCTCTCTCTCTCTCTCTCTCTCTCTGTAACACAGCTTGTTAGCGCTAAAGGTCGGACTGTTCTGCTAATTGGCTTTATTAGTACTGGTGGCCACATATCGACAAGACTTTCTATCAAAGATACATGCACAGTCTGGTTGCAATTTTCAAGCCTGTGAACATATACACAAGTATTCACTTCAGTACACCCAGCATGACAATTTATAACAATGCTCATGAATCACAATCCTAAAAGCATGTCAGGTATCAGTCACCCCTATGGTTTCAGACTCTCATTAGATATGATTCAGAAGTTCATTAGTCTTTCTTGTGCATTTTTACTAGCCAAGTAAAATATTTAACAGCACAGAACAGTAGAAATAAAAAAGTAGAAGCCACAGGGGATTTTTTGCTACTTCCAAGAAGTTGATTGAAAATGAAATGATTTGAATGTCTTGGATGTTTTCTTCCTTGTAGTAAGCAGGGCTAATAAAGCTCATTAAAACACATCAAACAAAGCGGAGGAAAGCAACCACTAAGACGAATGTTGGGTGAGAACATCTGTATTTTGATATATATATATATATATATATAGATGCATTTAGTTGAACTTAAGAGTGCTTTTTTTTACCTACTTTAGTAGACTTAAGTACATCTCTGTCTCTGTGTATTTTCATAATTACTTCTATTGTCTTTGAAATATGGATTAAGTGCACTGCTGAATGTACTGACCAAGTCAAGGGTTGGTGGTCTATTCAGATCTCTATGTTATCAAGCCATTCAGAGCAAGTTTCTACATTTCTATAAGTGGGATTATGGACAGAAACAACTTTGCTTTGTATTCTTACCTGGAACATGACCCTGTATTGCTCCTCGGGCTTCTGCACCACGCACATGTTGCACCCCATCCTGAGTCCTGACGTCTGACCACCCGCCAGGCCACGAACCCGCTCAGATCGCCTTCTCAGAGGAGCCGCTGTGCTAGTTCAGGCACAACCGCATGTCCCAGATGCCCACAGACACTTCGCTTGTCTTTCGTAGTCCAACAACGAGTTCTACGAATGTACTACGGGGAGAGCCGTTGAGTTTAAACCATTTCCAGTTCAGAGACACATGCAAGTACAAAAGTATTTAAAGAAGTAAGTTATCAAGCTTTTTAAGAGTGCATGTCATCCTAACTTACTCAAAAAAAACAAAGTCCAAAATGGCATATCTCAAGTCTATTGTGGAGTGTGAAATCCAATGAATTCCAGCATGTAGAAAAGTCCATTTGTGCTTTAAGTGAAATGTTGTAGTACGCCACTTCTTCTGCTCCTGTCCCCATTGATGTGCTTAATTCAGGGAATTCAGCATGAAATTACGCGTCTGTGCTTGCTCTCGCGCTTTTATCAAGGCCACTTCCAGCAGTGCTTTTTCTGGGACAACATCCAAATTACTCCTAAATCAGTAAATGCTGCATGTACGTCCAATGTTTTATTCCAAAGCGACGGAGGGATGATTGGATAGATTGAATGTTTGGTCAAGAGAGACCTTCAATGAAAAGCGTTCCAAGAAGGAAAATTACTTTTGCGAAATCTGTGGCTTCATTACGAGTTTTTGCTTCCAAAAAGTGTCACTTTAATTCCAAGGCCTTTTTTGCCAACATTTTCAAATGAAAACTGAACAGCAATAATTGCAGTACAGTGGTCAAAGCAGTGTATGTTATTGCAGCTTTAAACTGCAGAAGCCCTCATGAATATCAAGTCTTTTCATTTCGAATCGAATCAGTTCTTGACTGTGGCTACAGCTTTTTAGCCACAGTTTATCTCCTCACTCACTACTTCTCACAGTCACACCTGAAATCGATGGATTCTTTCTCAGTTTCGTTCGACTGCTGTGGATAATCAAAGAAGAGTTTGAATGCTTAACGCCTTCACATATCCATACATTTCAAGTGCCTCACTTCGGCTTTGTGCTTTTTCTTCTGTCCCTCCACCTGTTCCACTTTCACAGCAGCTTTTTCTCGTATCTCGCTCTTTGAACTTCCGCATTCATGTAGGTGTTTCTCGTCAGCCTCTCAAAGGCCGTGAAGTGTGTAGCGAGAGTCGCATTCGGTTGAACAAAAATGCATGTTGCAAGCTGGGTGAATTGGTAAAAATTGGTTGCACATAAAAGCGTGAGGTGAGAGAGTCAGTGTGCTTGAGGAAAATCCAGTCCCACGCACTCCTACATAAACGTGCTTTAACAGTTCTGCTTAGGTGCGAACAACAGCAAACTTCGCTCGCTCGACTGGCTGCCCATCTGTACACACAACCGCCATAGACACTTAACACACACGCACGACACAAACACGACCAGATACAGGTGTACAAGTCCGGATAAGCACACAAATGTAAATCAACAGCATTTGAAGGAGCATATTCACGTAAATTGAGGTCGTTTACAAAAAAAAAAAAGGACTGTTAAGCATTTATATCTGATTATGAAAAATAAAGCTCCGTACTTAACAGTCAATCTTAACCCAATTCCTCAACAGTGAAAATCTAGCATTATTCAGATCAATGAAAGCAAATTCAATTAAATGACACAAGCCCTTAATAGTGATCACTGGCACTCTGTCACGTAAAAATCAATATCTTTCTTAATAAGATAGCAGTTGGGTGCCTTTGGTGCTCAGTGGTTTGCGAAATGTAATTATCAGACGTTCGGTTTAACAAATGCTTCGGCGTTCTGCTGGCACACTTTGCTGCAGAGGTGGGACATTAGAAAACTGAGCTGTCCGAAGGTGCGTATAAATCTTTGTCTAATCGCAGACTCAAATCTGAGGCTTTACCATTCAGGAGAAACAGATATGCAACTTGTTCGTAGCAAGTTCGTTAATTCGCTAGTTTTCTTTGTTTAGCTTTTCTGTCCGTCTACCTCCTTCACACTTTCTCTTCACTCCACTCTTAGTTTCTGAGGAAAAAGTCAAAAACTCAATCTCTGGAACATTCATAAAATTGTCATAGCATTTCTATTTAAGTGTCTATTAAGTCATTATTCAACTACTATTCATGTTGTCAGAACTATTTATCCACACTCTATCCGAAAGTCGTCTCTCAAACCATCCGGTTTCTGATAGGAATACGCTTCACGACGGCGGAAAGCTTTAACCTCATTACACTGTGAAAGGACTCGTGTTGTTTCACGCACCCTGCTGTTTGAGATTGCAGGCTAGTTATTCATGCTGCAGTAACGTGCCAGACAGACTCCGCGCGCCCCGAGACGCTAACAGGCGTCGCCCTCGTACACCCACACACACACACACACACGGGTCAAATGTTACCACACACACTCATGCAAGCGCAGAAGACTGGCGTATTTCACCTGAAACAAACTCAGATAGTTGATCAGGACAGCTAGCAAAGAGTTAAATAGAAAGATTTCTGGAGAACTGGAAGGAAAAAAAAATAACGCAACAGTCTCAAAAGTATTCCTCAGACTTAACTAGACGCCATCAAACATCAGCATAGCCTTCAAGTGCGACGTGAAAAAGCACCTTTCAAAGAACTCTCAAAGAAACAAAACTCAGGTATGAGGGAGAGGCGTGTCATCCCTCCTTCTCTCTCTTCTTCCTCCCAAGTGTGCTGTGTCCTTTTGTTTGGGGAGGACTTGAGTAATCCATAATGGCATGTTTCTTTTTCCTCAAAAATCCTTGAAAAGAGGCAGAAAACTGGATCAGTTCCTGCAGCTGAGGGATGGTATTCTGGTCCAGTTCAGAGCAGAACGCCTGTGATGGAGGAGGACAGAGGACGGGAGAGGGGCGAGCAGGCAGGTGAGGTGAGGTTGCTGCTGTCTCGTCCCCTCATGCGAGCCGCTGAATAAACTCCCCCACTGCAGCGGAGAGAGAGAGAGAGAGAGAGAGAGAGAGAGAGAGAGAGAGAGAGCACACAAAGACATTAACGCCCTGTGAAGCCACACACACACACTAGTGGCCGTGCTCACTGGCGGAATAGTTTAGGATGCAACAGAAATCATCCTCCAGCCCCACACACACACACACACACACACACACACACACACACACACACACACACACTTTCTCTCCCCTCTGCTCTCAGTGTTACTCTGCTTTACTGTCTGCCCCTTTTAAATGTCCAGTTTTAATACTAATACTGGTGAAATACAATTAAATGATTAATTGAATGAAAATATTATAACAAAAAATAATAACAAAAATTAAATAAAAAAGATAAGGAAAATAATAATAGAATTTGAACAGCTAGTTATTCCACTTGACTTTTTTTTTTTTACTTCCTCGTCCACCTATCTTTCTCTATGGACAGGTTTACAGTTTTTAAATTTTGTTGTGATTTATGTGCATTGATAAAACACCACATATGGGTTACGGGTTGTGGCCTTTGTGATCATTTTTGCACAAACAAAGGGAGCTAAATGAAACACAGGTGAAGCTAATCAGTAACTATGTAAACAAGCTGGCACACAATAGGAAACTAGGTCAACTTAATATGACAAGGAACTGGAACAGAACTAAACCTAAACTTTTTGTCAGCCCGATCTCACAGAAACCGCTTAACGAATTATATATTTGAATTATGAATTTCTACAATTTGAACCGTACGAAGTTGAATGATTTTGAATATAAAACTTAAGCATTAAGGTCCACCCCTAAACATATCCGTCATGGGGCGTAAGCAGATTGTACGAAAACGTACAGATGAGATTACAAATTCATACGAATTAGCCAATAATTCACCAAAATGCATAATTGCCATGAGATTGTAGTTTTTGAATGACTCAAATTGGACATATTCATACAAATTTGCCAAAACGGAAAATAGTAAGGTTTTCTCATGAAAGCGGGTCGCGAAGCATCAATTTGCACAATAAAAAGAAAAGACAAAAAAGCTTGCTAGTAATGGTAATACAAATAAATAAAAACTACAAGACTACAAAAAATAACAGAATATAATTTTAATTAACTTGACAAAAAACAGACATATGTTTTTTATTTGAAATAAAACAAATAAAATATCACTCTCATTCACATTCTTCCTTTAACGCCCCACCTCTCTCACTCAGCCACTCTTTCCCTTTCATTCCTTCTGCTGCATAATGCATTTTAAAACTCCTGTGTACTAATGGATGGATGTGATATTCATAAGGTCATGGATTCATTTCTATTGTGCGTGATTCAGGTTTGAAATCTTTTGAAAAAATGAATCATTCATCTTCTGTATGGATCAAAGCTTCATGGGGAGAGAGATGAAACCCGCAGATCCACACCTAATGTCAGCGGCTGTGTTCAGATGTGCTGGTGTCATCATGTCATTTCAAATGGACTATTTATTTTATGCTGATGAAAACAAAAAGCATCTGAAAGACAGCAGAAGGAAAATAAGAGAATGAATGGACGAGAATGAGACACCGAAGAGAAACTAGGTAACAGGTGTGAGACCATGATGAAAGCTGAGAAACAGCCAAGAACTGTAATGTAATTAGTGTGTGTGTGTGTGTGTGTGTGTGTGTGTGTGTGTGAGAGAGAGAGAGAGAGAGAGAGAGAGAGAGAGAGAGTGTGCGTGTGTGGCATCAGAGAGGGTTTAGGCAAGACAAGGAAACCTTAAAGGGATAGTTCACCCAAAAATGAGAATTACCCCATGATTTACTCACATTCAAGCCATCTTAGGTGTATATGACTTTCTTCTTTCAGACGAATACAATCTGAGTTTTTATTAAAAAATGTCCTGGCTAATCCAAGCTTTATAATGGCAGTGAATGGGAGCCCAAATTTTGAAGACCAAAAAAGTGCATCCATCATTATGAAAGTAATCCACACGGCCCCGGGGGGTTTATAAAGGCCTTCTGAAGCAAAGCGATGCATTTGTGTAAGAATTAGGGATGCACCGAATCCAGGCTTCGGATTCGGCCGAATATTGGTCTTTTTGGCGAGATTCGGTTTCTGCCGAACCTTAGAATTTTTTTCCAATGCCGATTTGTCTTGTGGTGGCAATGACCCTAAACAATACACAACATCGCCGGTGTTAAAACATCCGAAAGAATACGAATTGTGCATGAAGGA